GAAGCTTACAACATACGAATAATCGCACTATGCTATGGTTTCGCAGAGTAGAGGGGCCAATGAACCTTGACTTGAGACTGAGACCTAGAATTTAACATCACATGACTAAAACCTAGACCTTGATCTGAGATCAAAACTAGCCTAAATCTAGAACTCGGTAATTTTTGCGAAAAAAACCTTCATAGTTTCTTCCTCTTAGTCTTAGTCTAGAGTCTCAGCGTCGCGATCGACACTCCAAGTCCAAGAAACGTTGAAGCTCTCAACGTTCAGCCTTCAAGTCAAGGTTGCTCTAGGACGTCTTGTCGCTCGAAGAAATGAACGTTGAACGTTCATGAACCTTGACATGCACAACGTAGCTTGAGTCTTGCTTGAGTCCTTGCTTTTCCTTTCACAGGGCTCACTCCACATCGGCTTTGAATCAACAACTCTATCTCATTGATCCCACTCTGAGTTGATCAAGAAGGCTATACAGCTTCACGGGTTCGAGTCTCTGTCTTGTCTTTCTGTCTATTGAACTTTACTGAGCCGGAGCACATACTTGAGTCCACATACGGGCATATTTTGGTGCCTCAATGGCGACTCGCGTCGGACGGGGAGTGAAAACATCACACTGTCCAATATCAAACAACTCCTACTATAACAAAATGTTTATAACCTCCCTCAGTCCCGCTGAATCTATTGGAATGGGAGCTTCCTCGCTTGAAAGACAAGCTCTCAAAAACGCCGTTTCACTCACCTTATCCCCCGTCTTGCCTCACGTTTAAGCACACTGATATATGGTGGGATGGCCGAGAGGTCTAAGGCGCCAGACTAAGGTGTTGCTCAATTTCGCACTGTTTACCAATCTGGTCTCTTCGGGGGCGGGAGCTCGAATCTCCCTCTCATCAATGGACGTGTCCCGAACCTTTTTATTAGATGGTAGGGGTCTGAATCTGTCTTCGTCCACCCCGCCCAAAAACGTATGTGGTGTGTGGACGCATAGGATTGGCCCTGATTCTTCAGTCCCGTTTCCTTTCTAGTGCACTCATCGTTCTTACGGTCACTTTACCATACCAAGCTCCGTCCCTATCTTCATTAATAGCAGGTGGAGATGATGCACGATACCTTGAGATTAGCAATATCAGGTTCACACCATGTCGCAACTATTAATACTGATCAGCCGGGGAGTATATCCTGACATGCTTAAGCTTCCTACTTTTTCTCTTCTCACATCCCTTACATGAGGTGGATCAGCCATGACTGGGACCCTGTGGGTTATGAACAAGGTCATCTTGATCGACGTGATACTCACTATTCCCATTAGTATTTGTGTTGAACTGATTAGGTCATACTCTACGGTCCTCGACGGAGGGCGGTTATACCTCACCGGAATAATCAACGCAGCACTCTCAGGGTGATTTAAGGTGGGCGTGAATCTACGAGTCGGGCAAGGTGCACATATGGTGTATCCTATGTGTCATTTTATTCTCTTGTTGCTACCGATTGCCGCCTGAGCGTCGCGTCAGGTATCAGCATTTCAGCTTCTTCCTGGAGGAAGTATTACCTCCGGAGCGCCCATCATGGATATTATAACGATGACAACCTCATGTGTCGGCTGAGAAAAAGGACCCCCGATTGAGGGAACGTCAATATGTACCCGGACCAAATCCTGAGCTCTAGGCACTGGTGGACGCATTGTACACATGTACACGTTTGTTGTGTGTAGGTGTCATTATGAACTGCCAATACTCACGTTATCCATGCTACTTGTGTTGTGGGCAAATGAATGCTGCCAAAGCCACGATTGAATGCTCATGTGGAACTGTTGGGCGCTGGCCTACCGGACCTCTTTCCTTCAGATCCTGATCCTGATTGATTATTTGACAGGAATACTTGATGACCCCATTTCAATCCATGCCCATACAACACTCTTGACTCCCGTTTGCCTGTACCTCAATTTTGCCCCAGATGACGGAAGATTTTACGATTGGTCCATAGGTGTGCAGTATTCTGGGTCGCGGAGATCCCTATTGACGTATGTGGCATTCTGTGTGATACCATGACAAATCCGAGCTACTTGCAAATAGGTATTCAGATAAGATGAGATGTGAAATATAATGTGGTTCCGGCTTGACGCCTGTACAAATTGGGAGTTACTAGGTATACATACATATAACATAGAGTTGGATGTCCAGAGTTTTGTTGTTTGAGGCGATATTCATATATAAATACCTGTGAATACTGTACATGCACTGGGTCTGGAGTATACTCTGCGGGCCTAGGCAGCATTGTAAAGTTCCAAAGAAATATGTGCCCTGACATTAGGACCATATGGTAGAGTGAACTGATCTGGAGATTGCTTGTCCTGAAGGCTTTGGATTCTGTGTCGCAAACCCATCTCAATAACTTTTTTTTTCATGTCTTTAGGCTTCATATTTCCATACAAAGAAATCATCACTGCCACAATGCCAGCAACTTGAGGTGCAGCCTGTGACACAGATGTTAATGATCAGAAAAAGAAAAAAAGAAAAACGCTGCTACGTACAAATGAAGTACCATCAGTCTGAAGTCCAAGACCAATTCCCGTGGAGGACAATCTCTGTTTCAACAT